CCGGAGCGCCCGCACGGAGGAAGTAAGAACGCCAGCGCATGAGAAGTAAGCGGAGGCACTCTTAGCCCCTTTTCCTGAGGTTTCACTTTGAAATGTTTTGAGTGTGTTATCTTTTTGTTTTGTTTTTTTTTGAGACAGAGTCCACTCTGTTGCCCTGGGCTAGAGTGCGGAGCATCGATCATAAGCTCACAGCAACCCTCAAACTCCTGTCAAGCGATTCCTCGCCTCAGCTCCCGAGTAAGCGGACTACAGGCAGTGTGCCACCACCAACGCCTGGCTAATTTTTCTATTTTTAGTAGACAAGGTCTCGCTCTTGCTCAGGCTGGTCTTGAACTGCCTGAGCCAGAAGCGATCTCCCCCTGCTCCCAGAGTGCTGGTCTGAGGAATGTTTTTAAATAATACATTCATCTAAACCATTTCACGAAAGTGCAGAGAGTTTGCAAGACAGCAGGTTGCCCCAGCAACCCCAGCGTGTGCCCCAGACAGCCTTCGTGTGCAAACATAAAACACCGTTGTACAGGAGAGTCTGGTTTCTAATGGACAAGGACTACTCTGCAAGCTGTTTCTTGAATCATTAAGCATCGTGGAGATCATTCCTGTAAGTGAAACAAAATACACTTCCTGTTTTTTTGTGGGGAGGTGTAGGATTTTATTTAGTTTTGTATTCAGCATATTATGGGGGTACAGAATCGGTAAGGTTAGCGTATATGCCCTGCCCCCTCCGCTGCGCCGACACACCGATAGAATGTTATTTTATATGTCCACTTAAGTGTGATCCGATTCATACAATTTGCTGGTGAGTACATGGGGTGCTTGTTTTTCCATTCTTGAGATACATCAGCTTAGTATTTTTTTTTTCTTTTTTTTTTTTTTTTTTGTTTGTTTGTGAATGGGTTCTAGCTTCTATCCAGGAAAATATAAGACGGTGCTGTATCACATGTTTCTAAAGTATATTAACTCGCTGGTATCATATACCATTTTTATGATTCATTATTGATGGGCACCTGGTTGGTTCCACACTTTTGCAATTGTGAATGATATAGATTCGCTTTTAATGGTGGTAGTTTCCCTGCAAGTTATGCCTCAATTGTGACGTCAATTCATAGCGGTGATTTTAGATGATTTCAACTTGGTTCCGATTTTGAAACAAAGCTATGATAAAAAAAACAAAAAACTTCCTATTATTCTCTGCATTCTTGCGCTGGATGATCCTTTCTGGATGAACTACCACATACTTGCCGAGTCAAAGGGTGTGCCCACAGAAAGATTATTAGCTGTAGGAGTTTTTCTCCGACTCTGACGATGTAGTGGCTAGAACATTGTTGTCCTGTTCTCTAAACGACTTGATCATTTTTTTTTTAGGAGATGTATATTTAACGACCACGAAACACCATCAGGATCAGCTAGAATGCAGAAAACACTTAAATTGGAAAAGAGAGCAGAAATGCCACGGAAGGTTTATTTCAAGATTACAACTTTTTGCTTTTTTCGGTGTTACGAAGCTTCTCACAGGCAATGAACGGTGATGGTAGACAGTTGGCTGTTGTTTACGTTGCTTGTTATTTCTTCTCGGTTTTCTCAGCCTAGTTGACGTGCGGGCCTCTGTCAACGCGCCCCCGCCCGGCGGCGGGGGGGGGTCCCGGCCTGGGGCGCGTGCGCCACGGCGTGGGCCCGGCAGGGGCGCGGGGCGGTGCCGGGGCCTGCGGCTCGGGCGTTGTGGGGACCGCACTGCCGGTCCTGTGTTCGTTTGCCATCTGTCTCCCTCACCAGAACGGACGCAGGGTCTTCAGGCGGTTCTGCTCACACGGGTGTCCCCGTGCTTAAACGTTCTGACGCAACGGATGTTTGTCTCCTGGTGTGGGTTAGCGACCTTATAGCAGAAAACAGGCTGAGTCACTTCCAAGATCTGCAGCACGTCAGTACCTGCGAGAGGTCTGAGTAATGATCCGTCTCCCGAGTGCTCGGACTGGCAGTTGCCCACAGCTCTGGCTGTCTCCCATGTCTCCATGGTTTTTCTCTGTTCTTGCAGACCAGGGGGGGAGGGAGAGAGAGCCCCTACACCCGTTCCCAGGGGCCTCCAGAGCCAGACAATTCCCATCATTGGACCGGTTGTTCCGGCTCCCCTACTCCAGTGGCCGTGGGGCGCGGCAGGCAGGCAAAGGAGCAGGCTGCCTCGGGCCACGACCTCACTCGGGGCCGGGAGCCAGGCGTGGGCGAGGCAGTGGTCTCTGGCACTAGGAGCTGGGGGCACTTAGCGGTTTTTTTTTTTTGGCTCTGCGCAGCAGCAGCAGTGGGGAACGGAACCTGTGCCAGACCTTTAGATTTTTCAGAGAAGGTAGAAATAACAAGTGTGCTAGAAGTTGCCCGCCGATATTCAAGTGTTGCCGGTAATCGATTTTGTTTAGTTTTAAACATTGTGGGCCAAAGAACCTGCTCTGCCCACCCGCCATCTGAGTTGTTGGCAGCTCATTTCACCACCCTCCCCGGCCCGCCGTCTGTGTGTCTGTGGAAGCAGGAAGATGGAGTGTGGCGATGGACGTGCAACCTGAGAAGCACCTGGGAATACGCTGTCCGGTGCACAGGAGGCATGAGATACCTTCGCGCGCCGCGGCCTCACCGCTCCGGCCAGGACGCTCGCCCACGCAGAACTCAGTTATGTGCGCCAAAACAACGGACTAAACATGCTTCGGGGGACCGCTGGGCGCCGAGGCGTTCTGGCAGACACGAGCACCCTGCCAGCCAGCCGTCATGCTGCACTCTGGGAGCCGCGGCGTGATCACTTCAAGTCAGGAGATCGAGACCGCCTGCAGCAAGAGCGAGGACTCCGTCTTACTGAAAAATAAAAGAATTATGGCAAACTAAAAAATATATAGCAAAAATTAGACCAGGCATGTGGTGCATGCCTGTAGTCCCAGCTACTCGGGAGCTGAGGCAGGAGGATCGCTTGAGCCCAGAGTCTGAGGTTGCTGTGAGCTTGAGGCTGACGCCACTTGCACTTCGCTGTGCAGGTGTCTCTACCTCACCGCTGGGGAAAGTGAGACACGCAAACCACTCGCCCAAAGCCATGCCACCCACGGGCGGGACCCGGGCGTGTTCCGAGGCTGGTACCCCCAGGGCTACAGGAACCACAGGGGCAGGGGTCCCCAACCTCTGCTCGAAGCCTCCCTCCTCCCAGTCAAGCTCTGTGGCCTTCAGCAAGGAAGAGGACACCTGTGTGGCCAGCACCATCCCGGGAGCTCTGTGCCCTGTCCCCAGACACAGGAGGTTCCGAGCGGCTGCGTGGTCACAGGGGCCCTCGTGGCCCCAGAGCAGGTCAGGGCACGTCCCGCACGCGGGGTCGGCCCAGGTGGCTGGAACGTGGCTCTGGTGAGCACACAGCTGTGGTCCCCATTGTCCCTCTCTGACCGTCACCTCTTAAGGCTCTAACCCTCTTGCTCCTCCTTGGGGAGGCCGAGGCGCAGGGCACCGCAGCAGGACGAGAGCCGCGTCCCAGGCAGCGCCCCCTCCCACCCCGACGCCGTCTCTCCCGTGCGATCTGCGCACAGGGGAGAGGCCCGGAGCCTCCCAGGGAAGAGGAGCATGCCCTGCACAAACAGCCCCACAGCCGTGTCCTGTGTCCCCCAGCAAGAGAGGGGACCCCCACACGGGGGGCGGGATGCTGGTTGGGGAAACATCCCGAGGCCCAGGTTTACCCTGGCCGAGGACCAGCCGGGTGGGGGGAGAGGACGGGGCGCCCTGAGCAGTTCCCGAGCCTGCGGGCGGAGCGCAGGGGACATCTGGTCTCCGTCCCCGGAGGCCGCAGAGCCAGCATCAAGGGGGACACGGGGCACAGATCAAACAGCTCCCGGGGACCGCCAGGGAAGGGCTGGCCCCGGCGTCCATCTGGACCCGCTCACACCATTGTTAGGACAGGCACAGCCTCATCCGTCCCGGCCTCTGAGGGTCACGGTGACTCCTCCCGCCTTGGAATTCTTTTGTTCGGTGCTGAACAAATAAACTACATTTGTTTGGTATTTCTGCTTCTGCATCAAAGTCCTTTCTTGGCTGATCTTAGAGAAAAGCGACATGATTGTCCTTGTCATCTTTATTTTTTTTTTCTTTTGTTTTGAGACAGAGTCTTGCTCTGTTGCCCAGGCTAGAGTGCCGTGGCGTCAGCCTACTCACAGCAACCTCAAACTCCTGGGCTCAAGCGATCCTCCTGCCTCAGCCTCCCGAGTAGCTGGGACTACAGGCATGCACCACTATGCCTGGGTCATTTTTTCTATATATTTTTAGTTGGCCAGTTAATTTCTTTGTATTTTTAGTAGAGACAGGGTCTCGCTCTTGCTCAGGCTGGTCCCGAACTACTGAGCTCAAACAATCCACCTGCCTCGGCCTCCCAGAGTGCTAGAATCACAGGCGTGAGCCCACGAGCCCGGCCTGTCCTTGTCATCTTTCTGAGCTGAACTTGCGTGGCCCAACCAAGGCCGGGCAGAGACCTGCACTGTGGGCTTCAACCTGCGCCGGGCAGCTGTCTCTCCCATGGCTTCACATTCCCCTTGGACAGGGATGGCCTTGGGTTGTCACCCAGGGAGGGTGCTGGATGGTACGGGGGTCACCATTCTGAAGTGTGTCAATAGTTATTGATCTCAATCTGTGCTCAAACAAACTTTACCACTGGTGGATGCCATTGCTTGGGCTATGGCCGATCAATTTCAAGTAAACAGTAGTCCCAGTGACAAGCACACGTGTCAAAAACCTTCAAATGCCTGAGTGGCTGACTTTTGGGAAACCCCAGTGGAGCCGAACACTGTCACTCTCCTGAGGAGCAAACCCATTCATATGAGGTCCGCATGCACGGGCACGGCTAGAAATGCCCCGCCAAATGCCCCGTCCAGGGCTGGCATCACTCCCTGCTGCAATGCCCGGTCCCTGGAGCTATTTATTTTCCCTTGCAAATGAGTGATCGGTCTACACAAGTGTGCCGTCAAATCAAGCCGATTTCAACACTCGTGGCTCACCTTGTGCCTTATTTCCGGCAGGACGTCCACCACCTGCTGCAGCGCCTGGTGCGGGGCTCCCAGCTGCACGGCACGGACACGACACGTTAGCCGGACAGGCAGACACAGGGGGACTGCATGCCGTGCTTCCCCGAAAACAAGACAGGGTCTTATATTTACTTTTCCTCAAGAAGACACCCTAGGGCTCATTTTCAGGGGATGTGTTATTCTTTTTAAGTATGGGACAACCTTCCATATGTATTCAACTATAGTGAAGTCGTCTTCTTCTGGAACATTGTCATCATTCTCCAAACCCCGAATTCAATCCTAAATGTCTTGGGATTCTATTTCCTTTAGAACCATCGGCCCCAATCTCTCCTGTCAGCACTAGAGCTCTCATGGGGCATATGACAAGGGCTGCTCGTGTTCTTTCCCACTCCGTGACGACATGCACAGGTTGTGCAGACGCGCTGCATAGCCACGCCCGTCACTAGGTCTTAATTTCGGGGTGGGGCTTCTATTGCGCAAACGCTTAGAAATCCTGCTAGGGCTTATTTTATGGGTAGGGCTTATTTTCGGGGAAACACGGTACTTTGCTGCATCTCCTAATCATCACCCACTGGGGTCTCCGGTCTCCGTCAGGGGCGCCTTGCCCCGGCAGGCGATTACCTTTAAGAACACGCCTATCACAGCCAGGCCGTTCTCTCCCGTCACCGCGTCCTGGTAGCTTTGGTATTTCACAGAATTCCAGTGAACTAAGTGCAGCTGAAACACAGTAGGAAGAGAATTTAAGTTGGTCGTGATGCAGCGAGAAATCAAACTGCCAATTCCCCTTCCAAGTGGCAGACCTAGGTATCCATTTTATAATTTCTTTTCTTTTTTTTTTTGAGTCTCACTCTGTTGCCTAGGCTAGAGTGAGTGCCGTGGCGTCAGCCTTGCTCACAGCAACCTCAGACTCCTGGGCTCAAGCAATCCTCCTGCCTCAGCCTCCCAGAGCCCTAGGATTACAGGTGTGAGCCATCGGCCTGGCCAGGAGGATTGTTTTAATTTCATAAACTAGAAATGGGTGGGCTGATCATTTGCTACTTCTTAGTTATTGTTGAAAAAAGATCACCAGATAAAATGCAGACTTCTCGGTTAAATTTGAATTTCAGATAAGCAATGAATATTATTTTTAGTGTAAGTATGTCCCAAATCTTGCATATTTCCCTAAATCAGGTGCCTGACCTTGAACTTCTTGGTGTCTTTGTTTTACACTACTCCTTCAGTTTTCCTGTTGCAGGAAGGTGGGTTTGGGAGCGTGGTCTTCCGTCCAAACTCAGATCAGAGCTGGCTGGGGAGGTTAGGCCTTCCCTAACCCCAACCCTAACCCTTCCTGGTGAGCAGGAGGCGGGACTGTGGCCTGGCATTCCGTGGTGAGAGCGGGGTCTCACCTAGAACAGAAGCGGTCTGGGCATCCACATATTTCCTTTTAAGCACTTGGGTCATGGTGGAGGGTCTTCTAAAGACTGACGAAGCCCCAAGCCCACAAGGTCGGGGCGCAGCAAGCCCTTAGGCTTCTTGTCAACAGGCCCCCGCCCTGCTGGGGTTGCAGGCTGGGTCCTGCAGAGGGCACCGGGCAGTGAGTGTGGCGTGGTTCAGTGACCCCGGCCATGTGCATCTGAGCCCATGGGCCCACGCCTGTGGGTCCCCTGGAGTGCCACACCCGAGACCCCCCGACCAAAGCCCTGTTCCTTTACAGACCCCGCCTTTGAAGTCAGTTTTCCCTCTCCGCCCCCAGTCCCCGGGGAAAGGCTGCAGCCTGGGCCAGAGGCACCACCGGGAGGGGCCGGAGGCAGGGAGAGCACTGATCTTGTTTCCCTACAAATAAACTGCAACAGCTCTCCTCTGTTAAAATATCTATTTATAAAAACAAAGCTGCAGTCCGGGCGTGGTGTCTCACACCTGTAATCCTAGCACTCTGGGAGGCTGAGGCGGGAGGATTGCTAGAGGCCAGGAGCTGGAGGCTCCATAGTGAGCTACGATCACGCCACTGCACTCTAGCCTGGGTAATAAAGTGAACTGCTGTCTCTAAAAACAAACAAACAAACAACCCCTAAACAACTATAATATTAACTTCATAACAACAACGAAATTGAAAAAATGGTCCGTGACTCGAAATGCATCAAGAAGTCAGGCGGGTTGGTGGAGAACAGAGGTGACAAAGTGACCACAGAATGGCAATGGCAGCCTCATGGGTTCTCACTGCACAGTTCTCTCCTTTTTTTTTTTTTTTTGCATGTTGGAAATTTCATAATAAATGCTGAGAAAAATCTGTTATCATCATATAAGGCATCATTCTTCATCCCAACATAACCACAAAGGCAGTTCCTAAAAGTTTTACCCCTCTTCTTCCTTTCCCCACTCCCAGTTTGGAATGTTGAAAATATGACTTTCTGGCCGGGTGCGGTGGCTCACGCCTGTAACCCTAGCACTCTGGGAGGCCGAGGCAGGAGGATTGTTTGAGCTCAGCAGTTCGAGATCAGCCTGAGCAAGAGTGAGGCCCCCGTCTCTACTAAAAAATAGAAAGAAATTATCTGGAAAACTAAAAATATGTAGAAAAATTAGCCGGGCATGGTGGTGCAATGCCCTGTAGTCCAACTACTTGGGAGGCTGAGGCAGGAGGATCGCTTGAGCCCAGGAGTTTGAGGTTGCTGTGAGTGAGGCTGATGCTACAGCACTCTAGCCTGGGCAACAGAGTGAGGAAAGAAAGAAAGAAAGAAAAGAAAGAAAAAAAAGAAAAGAAGAGAAAGAAGAAAGAAAAGAAGAAGAACAAAAGAAGAAAAGAAAGAAGAAGGAAAGGAAGGAAGAAGGAAGGAAGGAAGAGGAAGAGAAGAAGAAGAAAGAGAAGAAAAGAAAGAAAAGAAAAGAAGAAAGAAGAAAAAAAGAAAGAAAAGAAAGAAAGAAGAGCCCGGTGCGGTGGCTCACGCCTGTAATCCTACACTCTGGGAGGCCGAGGCGGGAGGATTGCTAGGCAAGGGTTCAAAACCAGCCTGAGCAAGAGCGAGACCCTGTCTCTTACGTGATAATAAAAGAATTAATTGGCCACTAATATATTAATAAAAATGAGCCGGGCATGGTGCCGCAATGCCTATCAGTCCCAGCTACTGGACGGCTGAGGCAGGAAGATATTGCTGATGCCCAGGAGTTGTGAGGTTGTGTGAACTAGGGCTTGACCCACGGCACTCACGTCTAGCCTGGGCAACTGAGTTGACACTCTGTCTCAAAAAGAAAAGAAAAAGAAAAAAAAGAAAAGAAAAGAAGAAAAGAAAGAAAAGGAAGGAAGGAAGGGAAGGAAGGAAGGAAGGAAGGAAAGGAAAAGAGAAAGAAAGAAAGAAAGAAAGAAGAAAGAAAGAAAGAAAGAAGAAGAAAGAAAATATGGCTTTCCTTCAAGAAGATGATCTCTAGTGTACAGATTTCAGATTCTCAGAAGAGGACCGCCTGCAGCTGCCAGTCTGCTTGGCTGCAAGAACACAGCTGAGGTGGAGGCTGTGACGAGCTCAGGCTCTGTTCTGGAGCCCCAGCGGTCTGACTTTAGCGAGTTACACTCAGAACCTCAGTCTCGTCTCCTGTTAGATGGGCGTGTGTATAGTACCCTCCTGTTAGTTGCATGCTTAAGTGGGTGGGGTGGCCAACTGTCCTGGTCTGAGCACTGGAAGCCCCAGGTCCCAGGAAGTCGCGCCCCCCTGAGCAGCTGGGCGGCTGGCCTCCTCGCACCAGGGCCTGGGCCACAGACAGCACCCGAGTGTGACGGCGTCTACCAACCTCTGCCGGGTACGCGTGGTCCTCCACCGTGTGCTCCGAGCCCCACGCGTTCTCCGCTCCCCAGTGGAAGTGGAACTGCTTCAGCCTGTAGTGGTTTTCCAGGGGCCCACCACTAATTCCTGCAAACAGAAGCAGCAAGACTGTGGGCCTTTTTTTTTTTTTTTTTTGAGACAGAGTCTCCCTTTGTCGCCCAGGCTAGAGTGAGTGCCGTGGCGTCAGCCTAGCTCACAGCAACCTCAAACTCCTGGGCTCGAGCGATCTTCCTGGCCTCAGCCTCCGGTGCTTGGAATACAGGCATGTGCCACCATGCCCTCATTTTTTTCCGTGTATTTTTAGTGCCAGTTAATTTTCTTCTACTTAGTAGAAGACAGGGTCTTTGCTCAGGCTGGTCTCGAACCTCCTGACTTGAGTGATCTCCCTCCTCGGCACCCAGTGCTAGGATTACAGGCGTGAGCAGCCGTGCCTGGCCGACATGGGTGATTTATATCTCAGTTTTTAAACATACCGAGAAATATCCCTTCCCCCCAACAAGCACATAAAAACACCGTAAACGGTAAAGTCTTCTGGCTGTGAGCACGGAGGAGCCGGTCTGCAGACGGGGAAACCAAGGCAGCACCGAGAGCCTCCCAGCCTCGGACAAACTTCGAGACTTTCACGGCGATTTTCTAGGGATAGAAATACAAGAGGGGCGATTTTTCCCTTTGAGGGGCCTGAGAGCCGATCTGCCTTCGAGGCTGTGTGTTGTGTTTGATTTGTTAGCAGAGGCTACGTGGGCTGCTGAGGCTCAGCTGTGGGAACCGGAATTCGAACCCGGGTCTCATACTAAGACCCCCGGCCTTTCCTACTTTATCTCAAAGTACAAAATGTACCCGAGGGCCGAGCACAGTGGCTCACGCCTGTGATCCTAGCACTCTGTGAGGCCGAGGTGGGAGGATTGCTCGAGGTCAGGAGTTTGAAACCAGCCCTGAGCAAGAGCGAGACCCGTCTCTCACTATAAATAGAAAAGAAGTAATTGCCCAACTAATATAAAAATGGACGGGCATGGTGGGCCATGCCTGTAGTCCCAGTACAGGGAGGGCTGAGCAGGAGGATCGCTGACCCCCAGAGTTGGGAGGTTGCGTGAGCTAGGCTTGGACGCCATGGCACTCTAGCCTGAGGCAACAGAGTGGGACTCTGTCCTCCATAAAAATAATAAATAAGGGAGAAGCAAACATCAATCAGCCTTTCAAGAGGAAACGTGAAGAAAGGGAGGCTGTGTCTGGCAGGTTTCCGGCGGGCAGCGCAGGCAGCTGAGGTCTTGGCTTGCGCTGGGCTGGGGCGCCTCCAGTGGCCGGCCTGTGCAGTTGACCCAGGATCCGCAGGCGGAAGCCTTGGCAGGCCCACGCTCCTAGAAAACTCCGCCTTTTAGTTCAAAAGCAGCGGGCACTGACACCCCAGCCTTTCAGTGTCAAATCCAGGTTTTCCATCTACGCGTCTTGACCCTCCAAGTTGGGAAAGACAAATCCCATTGTAAATTACGATCTCACTGCATAATTACAAAATAAGTCTGACGGCCTGACGCTGACCAGCGAGCTGCCAATTGTGTTCATTCAACACCGGGAAGCGGCTTTGCACTCTTTCTCAGACCGCGAGGCCAGCAGCCAAGAGCGGGTCTGCAGTCTGCCCAGTCCAGAGGCTGGTGCCAACTCCTCCAACATGGACTTGGTCCAGTTATTTTGCCACTACCCGCCTCAGTTTCCCATCTGTAAGTGGGTGGTCCAAAACCTGCTCCACAGTTTGCTAGGATTGAGTCCACATGGAAACGCAAAGTTCTTAGCGCAACCTCTGGCGGGTAGGAAGCCCTCAAAAGAAAAGCAAACAAAAAGTAGCGTTCGTGTTGGTGGGAAAACCAGCCGATTAGGGGACCAGAGGCTGTCTCGTCCAGTGACCCTCACGTGGGCGCTGCGCACCACCTGCCAGCTCACCCACCTGCACCTGGCGGGGAGCGCTTTGGCTGGCAGGCTGGCGTTTCCTAAGCACCTGCCACCTGCCGGACCGTGTGTGGGCCCCGCGGATCGTTCCCCCGCAGCGGCCCTTGCAGAACAGGTACCCGAGCCACGTTGAGACCAGAGACCCAGAGGTGAAGTCGGGGCGGCGGGTGTCACACCTGTAACCCTAGCTTCTCTGGGAGGCCGATGTGGGCGGATTGCTCGAGGTCAGGTTCGAAACAGCCTGAACAAGAGCGAGAACCCCGTCTCTACTAAAACAAAAGAAATTACTGGCCAACTAACATATTAGAAAATTAGCTGGGCCATGTGGCGCATCTGTAGTCCCAGCTACACTGGAGGCTGAGGCAGAGATTGCTTGAGCCCAGGAGTTGGGAGGTTGCCTGTGAAGCTAGGCGATGCCACGGCACTCACTCTAGCCTGGGCAACAAAGCCAGACTCTTCTCAAAAAAAAAAAAAAGAGATGAAGTCGCCCTGCCCTGGGTACCCGGCGACCCAGGTGGGACGGTGGGACGGTCAAGCCCTGACCTCTCGGTGCAGGGCTCAGGCCACGTTCTCCTACTTGTCTTGTCAGGAACCCAGCTTAAGGCCGCAGACGCAGATAACATAATTTCAAAATGACTTTTCATAGTGACAATACAATGTCACAGTCATTCTCTTTAATGAAAGAAAAGAAGCAAGCCCCATTCATGAAAAAGGGGGCCTTTAGCTCACCTGCCCCCAGCCCCCGCTGTTAGCGGGGTTGTCCACAGAGCGGTGGCAGCCACCCACCGCCCCAGCACTCCCTGTGAGCAGGTGACCTGAACCAGCTCATCCAGACAAAATCGGGCGACTGCATCAGCGAGTGCCAGACCCTCGGACGCGATGACAGGTGACACTGGAGGCCGACCTTGTGCTGCATGCGCTGGCCCCGGACACTATTGTCGCTGTTGTTATTAACACGACAGCCGCTGGCGACAGCCGCTGACAATAGCCACCTACTTGCAGTTCGAGGCTTTTACCAAGATAAGCAGCCTCTTGGCAGGCGAGAGTCGCTTGAGGCCTAAAATTAGTGCAAGAGAAGTTTGCAATGCTCTAATTAGTTGAACTGCAAATAACACGATGTCACGGAGGACCAGCCTGTGCTTGGCACCACTCCGGGGTTTCACCGATATTACAAAGCTCCCGAGCTTTGAAAGGTTTTTTTTTCCTGTGTGTTCTCTCGACCAGAAAGGTCGTTGGGACTTGCCCTAGGACAGTAGGAGCCACAGCTTGTGGCCGGCAAGGGCCCCTGCTGGGGGCCACCGAGAGCCCCGACCCCCAGGACTGGGAAATGAGGGAGCCTAGATGGTTCCCCGGGTGTCAAGCTCCGCGCACATCACGCGGGGGCTCTGGGTTGAGAGCCGGGCAGAGCTGCGCTCACATCCTGGTCTCACATCCTGGTTCCAGGCGGCGTGGCTTTGCACGGGTGTGTTATCTCTCTGCGGATCAGACTTGACATTTGCGAGAGATAAGGAAGCTTCCTGGGAACATGGCAAGGAGCAAACACTGCGATGCTTAGAGAGCTCTCCTGGCACAGCCCCGGCAGGCACCTGGCCTCGCCCGGTCAGCAAAAGGGTCCCCCGGGGCATGGATCTTGCCTGGGACAGTGCAGGGGCCCGCAAGATGGTGAAGGAGTCCTTGATGCAGTGGTAACTGCCCTGTCTCCAGCCCACCTGTTCAGGTAGCGGCCCCGCATCTTTCTGGTCGCCTCCCTTTTGACTTGTTGCTGGAGTCTGTTTCTTTGACTTGCAACTGAAGATCCTCAATGGATAGAAGTGAAGCCTGTAAACCTCAAAATCACACTGGTCTGCAGGTCACTCCCTCCCTCCAGGAGCGAACGCCTATGGAGCCCCTGCTGTATGCTGGCCCTGCGCAGGGAGCGGATTCCGTGACGGAGAGAGGCACTCTTGCACTGGGGCTTCCAGGAACGGAGCGCCTGTCAGGGTCTCTTGGTGCCAGGGTGACTGTCAATTGTCACTTAGAGGACAGAAGGCTGGGACGGGCTCCTCTTCACAAATGCACATGACTTAACCTTCACGTCAATGCTGGAAGGGGCATTTGCTGGCACGTGGCACCTTAACTGCCCATCACCGTCCCTGCTCGTGAGTGACACAGTAGTGTCACTGGCCGAGGGGCCCCGTCTCTCCTTCCTTGGCTGGTTGACCAGGTCATGCACACACACCGAGTCCTCCATGGCCAGAGAAAGCCAGACTGCAGCCTGGGCAGCAGCTGTTCTCTGCCTGCTCCTTGTCCCCTCCGTGGAAAACACTACAAAGAGCCCACAGCCAGTGCCTCCCTGGGATTATTTTATTTTGAAGGAAGCACAGTGGGCGCCGCTGTCGCACACCGAATGCTTAACCCTCCGGGCACCAGGCCAAGCACTCCACGCGGGCCGCATTCTCCTCCTCCCGCCCACCCTGTGGGGCCAGTGTCAGATCCTCAGTAAGCAGAGGAGGAGCCTGAGGGTCAGGGAGGTTAGCTGACTTGATCTCGCCATGCTGCTGGGACTCACACCCTGCTCTCTCTGGCCTCTTGAGCCGGACCCTCCCCCCCAAGGCCCGCAAAGACTCAGATGAGCTGCCATCTTGGGCGCACGCCAGGTTTCACAGAGCGGGGCGGTTTGCGTGTGGAGCGTGACAGTGGCCATCTGTGCGGGTGGGCTGCAGTTTTCCCCTCCCCACGCCGTCCCTCAGGCCCTTCTTCCCGCGGCCCCCAGGCCCCTCACAACATTTGGGAAGAGCCCCTGCCCCGCCTCTGCTGCCCCGTGCCGCTGGCCGCTCCATCTCCCAGTGCTGGCATCCCTCGTCTCCTAGAAAAGCCGCGGGCGGGCGGGCGGCCGTCCACACTGACGGAAATTTCCTTGGCCTCCCACCTCTGTTTCGCTTTGAGTTTCTGGCGCTCACCGGTTTGGCGGGGCCCAGACCTCAGCGACCGTACTCCATACAGAGCGGCTTCCGCACCGCGCACCTGCCCCGCTCGCCCGTCCTTGCTCGGGAGCCATTGCCCTTCCTTCTAGCCAGGCCTGGGGTTTTGCTTTTTCTTTCCATTTACGGGAGAGACTCATCATTCCCGTCTTCTTGCAGGAAACTTTCCCCAGCGCTCGCTGCCCGTCCTTCGCCTGTGTCTTCCGTCCCTTTTGCTCCTGACTCTCAGTGGAGGTGACCAAAGAGGACAGATAATCGGAAAACAGGGGGCAGAGGGGGACCTGGGAAAAAGCTGGAGCAACAGGGTGGGGCGGGTCCCGCGAAGCTGAGTAGGAGAGAGAGAGAGAAAGGAAACTGGGTCTCTGGGAAGATGACAAATAAAGCAAAACCAGATTGGCCTTCGTGGACACGAGCCACAGGAGGAATTACCCAACTAATTTATATGGCCGGTGGGGAGACATCCAGATAATTCTTTCGGTCTGTGGCAGGGCGGGGTGAGTCCCTTTGAACCAGATGGGGAGGTGGGGAAGCCAGAAGGGGTCAGGGCCAGGTCAGACGCCGAAGGCCTCGGACGCAAGAGCGACTGAGTCGGGGAAGGGCCAAGGTCTGCTCAGGGCAACAGCAAGGCCACGTGCCCAGGACGGGGCACGCCTCTGGACGCAGCGCCCACCGACCCCCACCCCCAGGGTCCCCTGAAAAGTCACTTTCCTCCGCTCTCATCTGCACCTTGCTCCAGGGGGGTGACCCCCAGGTTGGCCAGACAAGGGACCAAAGCTGGCCCCCGACGGTCGGCCCTGGGACTGTTGCTGGGATTCTGGGGAGGAGGCTCTTTCTCTTGGTGTCGCCGGGCTGGGAGGCTGAGCCAGAGCCCTGGCCGCCCTCTTTCCACCATTTGGGAACCCTCAAACAAGAGGGGATCACCCCCCAGGAAGAAGCAGAGCCCCGAGAGGGAGCATCATGCGGATTCCCGGCAGTGTGGTTCTCCCGCCCCGGGCCCAGCCACACCCTGGACGTTCTAGGATCTGAGCCAACAGATCTCCCTCCTCTCTGCTCGAGCCGGCTTGACTTGGGACTCTGCCACGTGCAACCCAAAAGAAGCCTCCACGGATACAGTGGAGTCCGAGCTCAGAGAACAAAATGAGATCAGAGGCCGCAGGGCCCAGAGGGAGGAGGGCGGGGACCCAGGCGTGGGAGCTGGCTCCGACCCGCTCCAGCAACCTCTGTGCAAATCCCTCCCCAGCTTCGCCATCGGTGACTTCACCTTGGAAGCCCAAACTTGGCCACGTGGGAGTGTTTACACCACGGAAAGCGGCAAACACCACTGATCCTGGCTCCGGTCCCCGCGCCCACGCCCAGAAAGCCAGCTGCTAAGCCTCACCCACGCTCCGCTGCGCAGACCTGGGAGGGCAGTCCTCCCCGGAGCCCCTCTGGAAGTTCACCCGGGCCCTGAGGACAAGTCTGAGTCATGACGCACCGCGACGGTCTGCACGGGCCACGTTAAACAGACCATGGCCAACTTTCCACGTCCCCAGTCCCCAGGCTGCACTCGGCCTCCAGCGGAAGTGCATTGGAGGGAAGAGTGGAAGGACGAGTCCTGGCGGCCCTCCAGCACCTTCCTTTCCATCTCTCCTCTCACCTTAGCCACGTTTTACTTGTCTGCTTGTACTTAGGACTCTGAGAAGAAAGTGACAGTAACTTAAGTCAAATTAATTTACCAAAAAAAGAAAAAAAGGTTTGTTAGTCCTGGCTGCAGGCAGGCAGCATGCAGGGGCTCCAACACTGCCTGGCCCGGGCTCTCTCCCGGCCACCCCGGCTTTGCTCCCCTGCTGGGTGCTTTTCCCAAGCCGGTTCCCACCGCCTGGGGCTCAGAGTGACCCTAGGGCGGGAAAAGCTGCTTTTGTATAGTTCCTGGAAATAAGGCTCTAGCTCTCATTGGCCAGGCTAGAATCATGTGCCCATTCCTGGACCAGTCACTGCCGCCAGTCCTGTCGGGACCGCCCCTTCCCAGCGCACACCTGTCAACACACTAACCCTAGTGAGGGGCGGGCTCTGGCCGCACTGGGCCCCTGGAGGACTGGGAACAAGGACCCTGCACTCCCTGGGGAAGGTCTGACTCCGCAGGTGCCAGGTGGGGAAGAGGATCCTGCTCGTAGGGGCTCCTGTCGCTTTGGTGGCATCTGCCGTGTTGCCTGCTCAGCACTCCTTTAGCAGTCGGGGTGCCCGCAGACCGGCTCAGCTCCCCGTGGCCTCGTGCCGACCCGTGTGGTGCAGGTGAGGGCAACCTCACCTTGCAGGGAGCGCCATCCTCCTGTTCCCCTTGTGCACCTCGCGCCCCACTCCTGGTCTCCCGGGAGCAAGTCTCTGTCCCCTGCGTCCCAACAGCGTAAGGGAAGCAGCCTTCCCGGCCCCGACCCCTCTCCTGGGTGACAGGAGAGCAGGAAGGCCTCAACGCCCACCTGGACTCACCTGAGCCCTCGGCGGCGGAGTCAAATTCCACCTGGAAGAGGTAGCCGGTGTTCCAGGCGTACATGCAGGACGCCGCGTCGTAGGCGACCTGGAGCGGCTTCAGCCGGGGGTCGTAGACGCTGTCCCTGGCCCAGATGTTGATGGGGGACTGCCGGGTGCCCCCGGGCACGGGGACCGGGCCCGTCCAGAGGGGGTGCACTGTGGGCAGAGAGAGGGAGACCCTGGCTGAGGCACCGGCTCCACCCGTGTGTCACACAGACGGATGTGGCAGAAACACGGCCACGTGAGGCCGCGCGGGACCCAGGTAGTGTGGTGCGAGGGCCACGGGCCTCAGCCACGGAACCTGCACCCCGTGTGCGCTGTTCCCTGTCCCTCTGGACCACGCCGAGACATGGATTTCCCCTCCCACCCGGAACGGCAGCCCCCTTGGCCTGCTGACGGGCTTTTGACCTCTGTGTGGTCATCGTCACAGAGCGTGGCCACAGGAAGCCCAGCTGAGCCCAGGGGAGGGCAGGAGGGCAGGTGGCGGGAGGGTTTGGAACCTCCCTTCCCAGTTGCACGAATCCGGTCTGAGTGATGCCGCAGATACTACTAGGAAGTCTGACCCGCCCCCGAGCCGCCCGCACGGAGGAAGTAAAACCCCAGCAGCATGAGAAGTAAGCGGAGGCACTCTGACCCCTTTTCCTGAGGTTCACTTTGAAATGTTTTGAGTGTGTATCTTTTTGTTTTGTTTTTTTTTTGAGACAGAGTCTTGCTCTGTTGCCCTGGGCTAGAGTGCGGAGCATCATCATAGCTCACAGCAACCTCAAACTCCTGGGCTCAAGCGATCCTCCGGCCTCAGCCTCCCGAGTAGCTGGGACTACAGGCATGTGCCACCAACGCCTGGCTAATTTTTCTATTTTTAGTAGAGACAAGGTCTCGCTCTTGCTCAGGCTGGTCTTGAACTCCTGAGCTCAAGTGATCCTCCCGCCCTGGCCTCCCAGAGTGCCTGGTCTGAGAATGATTTTTAAAGTAAGATACATTCATCTAAAACATTTCAGAAAGTGCAGAGAAGTTTGCAAGAGCAGCAGGTTGCCCGCAGCAACCCCAGGGCGTGTGCCCAGACAGCATTCTGTGCAAACAAACACCGTTGTACCAGGAGAGATCTGGGGTTTTCTTAATGGACAAGGACCCTACTCTTGCAAGCTGTTTGGTCATTTAACATCGTGAGATCATTCTGTAAGTGAAAACAAAATACACTTCCTTTTTTTTTTTGTGGGGAGGTTAGGATTTTTATTTTTATTTCAGCATATTATGGGGGTACAAACTGTAAGGTTACGTATATTGCCCCTGCCCCCCTCCCTGCCCGACACCCGATAAATGTTATTCCTATATGTCCACTTAAGTGTTGATCCGTTACTACCAATTTGCTGATGAGCACATGTGGTGCTTGTTTTTCCATTCTTGAGATACATCACTTAGTAGAATGGGTTCTAGCTCTATCCAGGAAAATATGAGGTGCTGTATCACCATTGTTTCTTAAAGCTGAATAGTAACTCCATGGTATCCATATACATTTTATTAATCCTCTCATGTATTGATGGGCACCTGGGTTGGTTCCACACTTTTGCAATTGTGAACTGAATATAATTCCTTTTAATGGTGGTATGTTTCCCTTGCACAGTTATGCCTCAATTGTTAACGTCAATTCATTAGCGGTGATGTTTAGATGATTTCCAACTTGTTCCGATTTTAAACAGAGCTGTGATAAAGTTCCTATTACTTCTCTGCATTCTTGCCTGGATTATCCTTTCTGATGAACTAACCACATACTTGCCGAGTCAAAGGGTGTGCCCAGCAGAAAGATATGCAGCCCTGTAGGAAGTTTTTCTCCCACCTGACATGCTAGTGGCTAACACATTGTTGTCCTGTTCTCTAACGAACTTGATCATTTTTTTTTTTAGGAGATGTTATTTAAGACAGAAACCATCAGAGGTCAGTAGAATGCAGAAAACATTAAAATTGAAAAGACAGCAGAATCACGGAAGGTTTATTTCAAGATTACAACTTTTCTGCTTTTCGGTGTTACGAAGTCCTTTCTCACAGGCAATAACGGTGATGGTAGACAGTTGGCTGTTTGTTTCGCTTGCTTGTTTTAGTTCTCTGTCTCGGTTTTTCTCAGCCTAGTTGACGTGCGTGGGGACCGCACCTGCAGGTGTTTTGCCATCTGTCTCCCTCCACCAGAACGGACGCAGGGCTCGGCGGTTCTGCTCACCGGGGTGTCCCCGTGCTTAAACAGTGTCTGCCGCAACGGATGTTAGCTCCCTGGTGTGGGTTAGCGACCTTATAGGCGAGAAAACAGCTGAGTCACTTTCCAGAGATCTGCAGCACGTCAGTTACCTGCAGAGTCCGAGCTAAGATCCCGTCTCCCGGAGTCTCCGACTGCAGTTGCCCACAGCTCTGGGCTGTCTCCCAGGTCTCCATGGTTTTTCTCTGTTCTTTGCAGACCAGGGGGGGGAGAGGAGGACGCCCCTACCACCCTTCCCCAGTGGCCTCCGGAGGCCAGAAATCCCATCACTGGACCCGTGTGTCCGGCTCCCCTACTCCAGTGGCCATGGGGCCGCGGCGGGCAGTGCAAAGGAGCAGGCTGCCTCGGGCCACGACCCTCCACCTCGGGCCGGGAGGCAGCGGGGAGGCAGTGGGGTCTGTGGCCACCTAGGGAGCTGGGGGCACTTACGGGGGCTGCTGCCACCCAGCAGCAGGGGGGAGCGTGAACCCTCTGCTGCCAGACCTTTAGATTTTTCAAGAGAAGTTAAAATACAGATTTTCATAGAAGTCCCCCGATATTCAAGTGTTGCCAGGTAAATATTTTGGTTTAGGTTTTAAACATTGTGGGCCAAAGAACCCGGCTCTGCCCACCCGCCATCTGAGTTGTTGGGCAGCTCATTCACCACCCTCCCTGGCCCGTCTCTTCGTCTGTGGGAAGCAGGACGATGGAGTGTGGCGACAGTGGGTTTGCACCTGAGAAGCACCTGGAATACCTGTCCGTGCACAGGAGGCACGAGATACCTTCGCCGCCCCGCCTCACAGCCCGGCCAGGACGCTCCCGTCCACGCAGAACTCAGTAGGTGCCCAAAACAATGACTAAACATGCTCGGGGAGACCGCTGGCCCCGCAGCGTTCTGCAGACACGAGCCACCCTCCAGCCATGCCCGTCATCCTAGCACTCTGGGAGGCCGAGGCGGGTAGATCGATCAAGGTCAGGAGATCGAGACCAGCCTGAGCAAGAGTGAGACTCCGTCTCTACTATAAATAGAAAGAAATTAATTGGACAAATAAAAATATATAGAAAAAATTAGCCGGGCATGGTGGCGGCGCATGCCTGCAGTCCCAGCTACTCGGGAGGCTGAGGCAGGAGGATCGCTTGAGCCCAGGAGTCTGAGGTTGCTATGAGCTAGGCTGACGCCATAGCACTCTAGGCCGGGCAACAAAGCGAGACTCTGTGTCAAAGAAAAAGGCCCGTTCTTGCATCCAGCCCGGGCGTTCCCTTCCTCTGGATGGGGGACAACGGACTTGGGAGCTGGCATAACCGGCCAGGAACCCCGGCAGTGACAACAGGTCCTTTGCTTGTGTGTCCTTGGTCCAGCTTTTGCTTTAATTCGAAATTACACCAGCAGCCCTGGGCTTCCGTAGTCTGTTTTCTGGAAAGAGGCCCCGTGAGCCGGCACAAACCTGGACGGCATCCAGGCGCGCTGGGCAGCCCCCCGCAAACTCTGTTGCATCCCCACCCCACCCCCACGGCATTTGCCACACTGCACAGACCGGAATTCGGACGGGACGCCGAGCAGCAAGGGCCTCCCTGACCCAGGAGGACGCAGGGTGTGGCCAGAGGGGATGTTTTCGGTCCCCTTTGCTGAGCTGCACAAACGGGGCCACCAACAATGAAACATCTGCGTGGAACATGGCGTCTGCCCCCACGCGAGTGGACATGGCTCCTCGCCGCACGCAGAGAGGTGACGCCACGTGAGTACTGAATAGGCTCCAAGTGTTTGCTCACGTTGGCCACGGAGCCCCACGGCTGAGGCCGGCACAGCAAGGGCAGCCGTGTGCTAATTAAAGTCGGCACTGACGGGAAGCAAGTAAAATATTATCTTCCTTCTCAATCGTTCAGCAAATATTCATAGAAGTCCTCCTGCAGATGGAGCCCCAGCCCCAGTGCAGGGGACTCGGCCTGGAGCAACAAGCCGCGTCACGGGGCGAGATCTGGAAGGAGACCCCCTTCCCTTGACGCACTCTCATGCTCCACCCCCCAAACCTCCCCCTCCCGCTGGACCACCGCAGCAGCCCTCAGCCCCTTCCCCTCCACCTCTCTGAGAGGGGCAGGCACTCAGAGTGCGGGTCCAGCGGCTGCTCACTCCCTCACACCTGCTGTTTGTCACAGCTGGTCACCTCTCAGCTCAGCCGGGCCGAGCCAAATGCAAGAAGCCCCGACAGGGGAGCAAGAAATAGCTATTGGAATGTTCAAGATGGTGCCGGTAAATGTCTAATTAGCGGCTCTCCCAGGGAATAGACACCTGCGATTTCTAGTGTTTGCTAATTACCATGGTGTAACTACCCCACCATGGCCGGTTTCAGGTTGCCAGCATGATGTCACGTCACAGACTTGGGGACAGAAAAGCACGTCAGTGACAGGCAGCCCTGGCACCCATAGAAACACGAAGGGAAAAAGGAATTGTAATTAAAATGATTCCTGGCGGACACGGTGACTCAGCCTGTAATCCAGCACTCTGGGAGGCCAAGGTGGGTACACTCATTTGAGCTCAGGTTCGAGACCAGCTGAGCAAGAGCGACACCCGTCTCTACCGAAAATAAAAGTTACTGGGCATGTGCCAATGCCTGTAGTCCCATCTACTCGGGAGTGGCAGGCAGGAGGATACTGAGCCCAGGAATTTGAGGTTGCTGTGATCTAGGTGACTGATGGCACTGTAGCTTGGCCAGAGTGAGAGCTGTCTCAAAAAAAAAAAAAAATAATTAAAAATAAAATGAAGAAATAAAATTACTGAACATTTTGTAGCTTTTGACTTTTCTCTCAAGGCCAAACTACCAGCGATTTCAATCACTTTTTGGTACCAAAATTTTTTCCCACAATGAAATATTCTGCAGGAATCTACAGAGTAAACAAGCACAAAACACAAGGAGTGAATCCTAGGAAGTTCCAAATCTGCTGTTTCCAGAATATTTTCTGTCATCCGCAGAAGCTTTGGGGTGCCGGGAGCAGTTTGAGACTCGCAGCGTAAACTGATTCCGGCACTGAATACAGAATCGATCTTCTGACGAAGCGTGCAAAGCTGTGCACACGTGTAAGAACGCATTTCAATAGCAATAAAACTGTGGGAGGGTAGAGAGGATGGTAAAATTCACACCTACGGTGTGGAGCATACTTTCTGGTGGATGGGCATGCTTGTAGCTTCACGTGGGCGGCACAAAGACAATATATGTAACCAAAGTGTTGATCACAATATACTGAAATCAAAACAAAAATTATTTCATCCTCCTTTTCCTTTAAAAACCTTGTCTTCTTACCTCACCTGAATATGCCACACAGTTTGCTGGCATGTGTTGCTCCTTTGCATGGCCGTCACGAATAAATATCAAACTTTTCAAAAAAAAAAGTGTGTATCAGCTAACGCCCACTGACAGGGTAATGCTTAAATAAATCCCCAAAGGGCATCCAACGGTGTGAGAAGCCCTCTCTAGCTTCCCAGAGTCTCCTCGTGCATTCCTCCCTCGACCCCCTGTGCTGTCATTTTTTTTTTAGACAGAGTCCACTCGTCACCGGCTGACGTCGTGGTGTCAGCACTAGCTCGCAACTCCAACTCCTGGCTTCCAGGAGATCCTCCCTGCTCAGCTCCCGAGTAGCTGGACTACAGGCACGCGCCAACATGCCCGTAACTTTCTGTATATTTTAGTATGGCCATATTGCTTCTATTTAGTAGAGACGGGGTCTCGCTCTTGCTCAGGCTGGTTTCGAATCTGACCTCGCAGCAATCTGCCCGCCTCGCCTCCCAGAGTGCTAGGAAGAACAGGCGTGAGCCACCGCGCCCAACCCAATGCTGTCATTAACCACCTTCACAAGGACGACATTGAATGCTCAGAGAGGTTAAGGAACTTGCCAAGGGGCACCACAGCTACAGGTGGTGGGGTGAGGACCGCAGTCTACGGCCGTCTCTTCCGTGCTTTGTACTTAAGAATCAAAAGGGGGACAGGCTGTTAGAGAACCGTGAAGACGTCTGCAGGCAATGAGAAAACAAATATGTCGCGTAAAAGCACACAGTTTCATTCCTTTTGCAGTTAAACTCTCGTGTGTGTTGCGTCGTGTGTGTTACACCATGTTTTGCATGCACAGAAAGAAGGTTGTCAGAACAGGGCTGCGCCGCAACATCCCTGGGTGTGATAGTTGGTGCGGTGGAGACCTTTCTGCCTCATGGGCCCAGCACTGGTCGGGACTGCAGCGGGGCTGGGGTGGGGCCCAAGGTGCTGCTTTCCTGGCAGGTGCCCTGTGCTGCCGCCGGGACCCAGCTTGAAGTCAGGGTCACTGGAGGCAGGTTAGGGACAGGATAGTGTGAGAGGTGACAAGGTTTCTGCCCCAGACCCTCTAGGTAGGGGTTTAAAATGTGGGTTCCCAGCCACTTTGGTTTTCCACGTCCCTGCGGATTCCTGGGACGCCTGAGCTCAGGCAGCTGCACCCAGGGCTCCGGCGCGCCCTGCCCTCTGCTGCACCACAGGCCTGAGTCCTCCACAGGGGGGACCCAGGCAGAGCCCAGAGTGCCCCGCAGATGGCCCTGTGGGGCTCGAGGCAGGGCTGGTCGCCACCAGCGGGTTATGGGCAGAGCTGGTGTGTGCGCTTTCTGCACATGTCAGCCGACCCTGCGTGGCCCAGGACAGTGTCACCCTAGTTCACAGATGAGACACGAAGCTCCGAGGGGGGGGTGTAAGGCCACTCCCAAGCTCACCCCTGAGGCGCACAGGACCCCCACCCGGGGTCTGGCTTCGCCACCCTGCTCCCCGAGCTGTGGGACACAGACAGCGGGAACGTCTGTGTTAGGGGAGAACGTGGCAGCACCACCCCCCTGTCCTGAGCATCTCGCCCTCGTGACGACCCTGTGAAGCTGAGGTTACATGAATCACCCAAGGACACCCAATGCAAAAGAAAGAGTGGAGGTCTGAGCCCAAGCTTTCTGGCTGGCGACTGTCTCTCCCCTCGAAGGGCACCAGGCAGTCAGCACAGTGACACACACACGTCGCATCGCCCCTCGGGGGGACTGGGGACCTACTTACAAGCGCGGCCCCTGCCTCTCTGTGCGCAGGGATGCTGAGAACACCGTCGCGCCGGCCGGTGTCGCAGGGCCCCCCACATCTGCTTTGCCAGCAACGAGAACCCCGAGGCTGTCCGATGGCCCCTCCCCAGCATCTCAGGTCTGTTCTGGGGACCCCAGTGCACAGGGGGCGGCTGTTCCTACCCTCCGTCCTCACTTTGTTCCGGATCACTGTGGAGTGGAGTGGACTCACCTCTTTTCGTGGAAACTCACCCAAACCCCCGAGCCTCACGGTGAAAGTCCAACCCATGTCTGTCCCAACTTGTTGATGTTTGGTTTGGGTGTCAGGTGGGTGCTTGTGGATGAGTGGCCTTCACTGGGCACAGGCCGCTCAGGTCACACTGTGCTTCGATCTGGTAAATAGCGGGGTGAATCCGCCTGGGGTTGGGAAAACTTTACAGAGAGCCTGCTGGGGGCTCCGGGGAGAACTCGGGAGAGAGCAAAGTCCTGTTCTTGTGGTGTGGACGCTGTGGCCTGGAGCCGTGGGACACTGGAGACCAGGAACAGAGCCCTGTTGTGTGCTTGGGAGGGCAACGGCAGGCCCAGACGCGCAGGCCGGGGAGCTGCCGCACGCAATGCTGGGGGTGGGCATGGCAGCAGGCGCCCACGTGCCCAAGGCTCCTAGTGACGCAGCGTGTCCTCTCTCTCCACGAAGAGGTGCGATTTGATTCAAGTTCATGCTCCCTGAGCCAGATTCCCCTGGCCTGGGACACTCCCACCTTATGGCTGTTGTCTTGGCATAAATACGAACAGTGCCCCTTCACCCACAAAAGGGCCCAAGTCTGGATGGTAAGACGGTCACCAGACAACCTGTGATACCTGCAGATGCCAGCCTGCAAAGAAACCTGCTTTGGACTGGACAGAAGTTTGTCCCCAGACACCTTTTATCCTGGAACAGACCCTCCGGGTTGAGATGGACAAGCTTGTAAATTTTTTTTGGTTTAAACTTACAACCTTTTATAGGGCAGGGATGTCGTACCTTATCATAGAATCCTAGGTGTGGAAAACCCTGCAGAACACGCGTTCTGAAGCAGGGGTCCATCCAAGAACCGCCTAAAGAAAGTCATGCGCACGGGTCGTCTGCAGGCTCTGTCCTTGCTTGCATGGGCCGGTACTTTTGGCCGCCTTGGTTTCCAGTAACGAAGACCAAGTCTGGACTCTCTGCTTTTCTTCCCACAGAGTCATTTTGGAAACACACCCACTCTGGGTAGCCTGATTCATTCATTCATTCATTGACTCTTGCCTCAGTTTCCTCCTCTGGAAAGTGGGGACAGCTTGACACTTGGCAGAGCTGCTGAGAAGGTTTATTGAGTGGATACAAATAATGGCTAAAGAACGGCACTCCCGTGACTGTACGCCACGTCCCAGGCACCCCTGAGCCCTGACAATCCCCCTTGCCTGGTCAGCTGACACTCCACGGGCTCTGGGGGCATGTCCTTGGCCACCCTGCCCCTTTCAGGCAGACCACACGGTGCAGTGGCCGTGGGTCTGGAGTCCCGTGGCAGGCCTCTGCTTTAGTTAGAAGCTCCATATTATGTAGATAATTGTGCTCTCTGTCCTCTTCAATGACCCACTGCTTCAAGGAACTGCACTTAAAATTGAACAGAAAATTAAGATGAACGTATACGGCCAACCAGCCTTCTCGGTCGGTTCTCCAGCTGGGCCGAGGGTACGAATGCTCTGAGGACACAAGGCCAGCAGCTCCAGCAGTGGAGCCAGGCGCCAGTCACGAGAAACACTCTCCCGGAAGTCCTCCGCACGGCCACAGCTGAGAGCCACTATCTTGGGTGATGGTAAGTTCCAGACACATAGAGACCACAAATCAATCAGGAAGTCAGTATTTGCTTTCCCAAAATAATGGAGTGTCATTTAGGAAGTCCAGCGTGTTCCTCAATGAGTGAAATGGTAATGTGATCACGTTCTGAGCCGGACCCTCTGCTAAACCCTTCACAAAGTCTACTTCACTGACGACTCCCAAGAGTCCCGTGAACTCTCCACACCAGCTCCAGAGGAGGCAGCAAGGCCCGAGGCCTCAGCGACTTCCCAAAGGAAGGCTCGACTTCCAAGCTGGGGTTGGGCAACAGGCGGGCTCAATGTTCTAGCCTTTCATTCAGTCTTCTGGGCTTTTCCTGGGCAACTGGGAGCATCGTGAATAATCCATTTCTGCATCCTAGTGACATCTTCAGAAAGAGGAATGTTCTGAAGGACTGCAGGGTCTTCCTGCAGCGGGCATGGCGAGGGTTGGCAAAAGGGCCTTCGTGGTTGTTACGAGTGGCCAGTGCACACGCACTTAGGTGGTCCCCCCATTTCTGGTGCCACCCAGGCCAGCATGCACCTCCCTCCCCTCTTACAATGCCTGGGGAATGTACTTTACCTAATTAACTCCAGGAGATTGGACTGGATTCTTGCCTTAATTGACTGGTGAAGGGAAGGGTCCCCATACGGTCAGTGAGTGGACGCCCTTAGTGGATATCTGTCTTTGCTGATGACTATTTCATTTCTTTTAAGCCATGGTGAATTAGCAGATGGCACTACTGAACACCTTCCTCTATTTTAGCTTCCTGAGCAGCGAAAAAATAAATCTAAAACATCAAAAACAAAAAAGTCAACTCCAGCATAGTCACAATTATAATTTTGATTCGTTTAATTTCTTTTTTTCTTTTTTTTTTGAGACAGAGCCTCACTCTGTTGCCCAGACTAGAGTGCCGTGGTGTCAGCCTAGCTCACAGCAACCTCAAACTTCTGGGCTTAAGAGATCCTTCTGCCTCAGCTTCCTGAGTAGCTGGGACTACAGACATGCACCACCATGCCCGGCTAATATTTTCTATATATATATTAGTTGGCCAATTAATTTATTTGTATTTATAGTAGAGACGGGGTCTTGCTCTTGCTTACTCTGGTCTCTGAACTCCTGACCTCCAGCAATCCGCCCGCCTCGGCCTGCCAGAGTGCTAGGATTACAGGCGTGAGCCACCTCGCCTGGCCTCTTTCTATTTTTAGTAGAGATGGGGGTCTCACTCTTGCTCAGGCTGGTTTTAAACTCCTGACCATGAGAGGGATCCTCCCGCCTCGACTTCCAGAGTGCTAGCTAGGATTACAGGCGTGAGCCACATTGCCTGGCCTGGCTTAATTTCTAACTTTGACTTAACCCGAAGTGGCTTGGGGGCTTTCAGTAAACCCTCACTATAATTTGTTGGGTGGTTTTGTTTTAAATGTATTCACCCTTTATTCACTCGTTCACTCATTCATCCGTTCACGCCTACTGTGACAGGGAACCGAGGCATGGCACTTGGGACTACCACCCCGACTTCATGAGGTCTTGAAACGACGCGAAAACCGCAGCCCTCAGTTTCTCTCTTCCCTGGTCGGATCCTCAAGCCCCGGGGGAAGCGTTCTCGGCCAGGGCGGCAGTCACCCCCGGTTCCCGAGGTGGGGGGACAGCGGACGTCGCCCCGGAGCTGTCCCCGCCGCCGCGCCTCGTCCCGGCGGGTGGCCTCGCGGGGCCCGAACCCCAGTCGCTCGAGGAACCCCAGTCGCTCGGGCACCGCCTCGCCTTCCCACCGGGCCCTCCGCCCGCACGACACAGCGCGCACTCGCGTTATCACGAGCCAACCCGCGTTATCGGCCGTCCACGCCACACACAGCGCCCCGCGGGCCTCACGGGAGACACACCTGTCGCCCACCCACAGTTCCAGGCACACACGCCGCGGCGCACGGGCGCACTCGGGGCCCCGCACGAGCCCCGCAACACTGCCGCTCTCTTTCCGGAAGCCCGCCCAGGTTCCGGAACCTCAGAGCCGGACCCGCAGCGGCAGCAGGTACGGCCCGCGGCCCGCGCACAGCTCACCTGGGCCATCCTGACTACAAGTCCCAGCAGCCCGCGGCGCGGGGACGACACGGCCGGCCCGAGCCCGGAGAGACTACAAGTCCCGGCAGGCACGGCCCGCGCGAAGGTACTACGGGTCCCAGAGTGCACCGCGCGCCCCCTGCGCAGGGCACCCTGGGACGTGTAGTCGTGAGGGGAGCTATGTCCTAGTCATTCCGTCTCAAAGACGGTGCGGATTCCTCAAACGGCCGACCGGAGCGATTGCTCTAGGGCTGGCGAGTCGCCTGGGTGTACAGTGGGGAAGTATTAGCCTCTGGGAGCCAAGGACCCGGCGCCAGAGAAGGTCGCCCGCGCATGCTCGCCGGGAGTCCGAGCGGGCGGAAGCACGCGCAGCAGGCCTCGGCGCCCGCAGGCCCCGCCCACCGCGTCCCGAGCCCCGCGCCCAGTGAGCCTGCGCGGAGGGTGGGGGCAGCGCCCCGCGGGGAGGGGCCCGCGGCGCCTGCGCAGAGCGGCGGCTTCTCTCGCGAGGACGGACGCCATTATCGCATCTCCCCGACAAACACCACGAGAATTCCGCAGCCCACACGGTAATTGCAGCTCCCGCAGCCGGTCGCGTCTCCACCTCCCCCTTCCCGCGGGGCGAGAGCGAGAGCGAGATTCTGCCAACACACAACACAAGCAAAATCACACACACACCGGCGCGGCCCCCGCCGCACCGGCTCGGCCCGACCGCGCCCCGCCGCCGGGTCACACAACACGGAAGGAGAAACACAACACACAGAGACCGCTCCGCAGGGCCCTCGCCCGCAGTCCGCGCGAGCGTCAACGTTGGCGGGGGCCGCCGCCCGGGCTGGGGCTGCGGGGGCCGCGCCGCGTGCGCCGCCGGCTGTCGGGCGGCGCTGCCCGCCGGGGACGCCGGGGACCCCGCTCGTGCGGCGGGCGGACTCCGGGGCCGGCTTCTCTGCGCCTCGACCGCACCGTTTCGTGCCGCCCGAGTCACCGGCGTGGGCCGCGGCCCGGTGGCCCGGAGCTCGGCTCCGGCCCCGCGTCTGCACGGCCGAGCGGGCCCCCGGGGGCCTTGAGTGGGAGCCCCTCAGCCCGGAACGCTTTTGCCGTTGCGTGATTTAGTCCTTGGCACCGTTGTTTTTTTCTCTGGGACGCAGGAAGTAGATGACTTCCATCCCCACGGCGCGAGCGGACGGCAGGCGTTGCCTTGGTAGAGGACTGAGCTTCTTTTCGCTGAGAGTGGTAGGGCTGTCTTGGTGCTGAAGTCAGAGTTCTCAGAGGAGCTGTCTGTGCACAGGTGGGGCAGGTGTGGGCTTTCCAGGATAGCGAGCCTGCTGCACCCTGACCAGGGAGGG